TTTAAACCCCTTTTCTTTCTCTGCTCCGGGCTGCGCTTTCGCGGAGAGTTCGTCGCCTTCTCCCGCCCCGCCGCCGGGCTCCGGCCGAGCATGGAGAAGTACGAGGAGGACATGGCCCTGAAGGCCACCAAGTTCATGGAGGACCTGTCCCTCTACGAGCCCTGCCCGGAGGGTCCGTACGGCCGGGGCGGCCGCCGGGACCTGGCGTTGCACCCCGACCTGGAGGAGACCAAGCGGGTCATCGCCGCCCACATGACGGCGGAGCAGCGGGGCCGGAAGATGAACGGCACCGCCGCGCCGCCGCCGCCCGCCGAAGGCTTCCCCGCCGCCGCCCCCTGTGGCAAAGCCGCCCCGCTCCGCGCCAACGGCCGCGCCGCCGCCGAGCCGCTCCCGGGCGCGGGGCCGCCGTGCTGCGAGGAGGGGCTGTGCACCCGCTCCGAGGTGGCGCTGCCCTGCTACAGCGGCTTTGCCGACAAGGGCAAGCGCTACTCGGCCGAGGGCTACCGCTACGCCGCGGGCAGCGCCTACGAGGGCGGCTACGTGGCCAAGGGCGGCGGGCGGGCGCCCGGCGGCCCGGACGGCAAGTTCGGCGCCGCCAGCCCCCGGGCCAGCCTGGCCTCTGCCTCGCCGGGCCCCTCCGCCGAGCACGGCAAGTTCTCCAGCCCGCGCTCCAGCCTGGGCGGCGCGGCCGCGCTGTCCTACGAGAAGTTTTCCAGCCCYCGCTCCAGCCTAGTGGTGCCCGGGCAGGACAAGTACGGCAGCCCCCGCGCCAGCCTGGTGCAGTACGACGGAGCCGCCCTCAGYCCCCGCTCCAGCTACGCCAGCACGGCCAGCGACACCAGCAAACACTCCAGCCCCCGCGCCAGCCTCACCGGCTACGACGGCGGCGGCAGCAAGCCCAGCAGCAACCGCACCAGCGGCATCAGCATGGGCTACGATCAGCGCCACGCCAGCCCCCGCTCCAGCACTGCCAGCCAGTACTCCTGCACCGCCAGCCCCCGCTCCAGCTACTCGGACTCCAGGTACGGCCCTCCGGGCAGCGCCGAGCCCGAGGGGGCGGGCGGCGCCGGACTCGCCCTGGCCAGTCCCCGCTCCAGCCTCTGCGGCCCCGAGGGCCGCGGCTCGGCCGGCCCCGCCGTAGTCAGCCCCCGCTCCAGTATCTCCAGCCAGAGCTCGCGGAGCTCCCGCGGCTCCATGAGCGCCTACCCCGAGCTGCAGCTGCCGTCGCCACGCTCGTCCCTGCTGGGGCCTGGCCTGCAGGAGGACGGTGCCGTGCCCGAGCTGGGGGACGTGTACCACCGGATCCTCGCCCAGTCCCCGCCGCGGCACGACCAGCAGCACCCGGCCGGCGCCCCCGAGCCGCCGCCCCCCTACGCCTACAGCCCGACCAAAGGCTCCACTCCGGCTCCCAAATTCAAGCTCCCCTACCAGGTGACGCCGTGCCGGGAGAGCGGCCCCAGCCAGGCGGAGAGACGGCTGGAGGCGCTGACGCTGGAGCTGGAGAAGGAGCTGGAGATGCACATGAAAAAGGAGTACTTCGGTGAGTGGGGCGGGGGGATCGGAAGGCTGGAGGGCGGCGGTGTGCGGGGCTTGCCGGGCCGGGCGGCTTCGGCCGTGGAGGAGGYGGGCGTGCGATGCCCGCGGCTCCTCTGGACCAGGTGCGTGCYGGAGGCTCACATGGCCACAAACGCTGTATGGTGTCAGAAGTGCTCGCATCGTGGTTCACTCCCGGCACGTGAACTCTCGCCGTTCCTTTCCTAACGCGGTTTGCCGGGTTGTTGTGTGCTGCTTCCCTTTCCACGTGCGGATGGGAGCGCTTGTCTGAAGTGTGACGAGCAGTTTGTGCAGTCATTTGCTTCTCGTTTGCCTTCCTTCCTCACGGGCTGTTCAGGCTTCCCCGTAGACGTCCCGCACGCAGAGGCTGTAGTGCTTGCGATCGTGCTCTCAGTCTGTGGTAACTTTTACAGATGTTGGGTATGGCTGGTTTGAAGCAGTCTTTAGAGCCTCGTTCGATGAAATCTCTAGTGCTAGTTGAGAGTACCTGTGGAAGCCCAGCATTGTTCCCGCCCCGTGAGGCCTCGCAGGCTCTGCTCAGCACACAGGGACATCCTTGGGACCGGAGGCGACTTTGTAGGAGAGGAGAGTCCTCGCTCCTTGCTCAGGTTAAATCGGCCTGTTGGTCATCTGCTGAGTTTTTGTTTCTTGCATACAGAAGAAAAGTTACTTCTTGAAACGAGAATGAGCGCACGTGTTTGGTAGCCACGTTAGTTAAGATTAAGCTCCCTTGTCTCTCGTACTTTACAGTGAATGGCACAGGATAAAAATGTCTGTTGGAAAKTTGGTCCTGGAGCGCATGAATCCTGCCCTGGCTGCCCTGCACTGGGACTGCGGACAGGCCGGGCAGCCCCGGGAGCGGCGCCTTCGCTCCCTGCTCGGCCGAGGAGCGAGGGCTCCCGKGCGGGTCTGCGGCAGTTCGGCAGGGCGGGGAGGGAGAGCCCTGGGAAGGTGGAGGGCTGCGGGTGAGCCAGCCCCGTGTGAGGCCTTTGGRAAGGGTTCCCTCCGTGCTTTGTGCGCTGCCGGGCGCGGGGAGCGGCTGCCYGGCCGGGTGCGTTCCTGGCGATGGACACCCGTGTGTCGCCTTGGTCGCTGATTTAATCGCGGGGCTCAGCGTGCTCTGGGCGCAGCATCGGTGTGCTCTGCCGGGAAAGAACGAGTAGCAGAGCTCTCTTCCTTTGTGTGGGAGAGAGACCTGGGCCGATCGGGGAGGTAGCTAAGTGAGCAGCACTCTCYCTACCAGGAAAACTGTTCTGTAAACTGCAGTGGCAGAGCTTGTTCTGGCTTTTGTGCCCAGACAAAGGAAGCTGAGTGCAGTGCTTACTGCCTTCCTTCATCCGTCCAGAGCTGATAAGAAAGCTGACGATCACCCGATGCATCTTCTGCAGTGYTGGCACATGGGATGATGCTCCTGAGCAGCTGAGGGGAATCCCGCTGAGGACGATTGTGGYTCCCTTCAGAGTATGGCAGAAGCTGGATGGGGCTTGTGACACACGAACTGCCACAAGCGTTACCTTYACATTTCCGTGGTGTGCAGCGAGAGACTGAGGAGTGAGGTGTGAGTGTAAGAAAGAAGGCGTCCTGAGCCTCTGGGAGGTGTTTGCAATGGCCTGAGAAAGCCGGGTGTGCTCTCAGGGGCTCCCAGAGCCGCCATGGGGGATCTYTATTGCGGACAGATTGTCTTATTTACTCGAGTTTGGCTGTTGCGAGTGTCACTACTTGCATCCATGTTCCACAGCAGTGTGCTGCAGCAGCCCCAAATCTCCTGGGGAGGGGTCCCCAGTGCAGGAGGAGCAGTGAGCTGTGCCTGTGGAGCCTGGGGGCTGCTCTGGGGGCCTGTGCTGTGGTGACACGAAAGGACCACTGCTGTGACTSCCACCCTGGAAGCAGACGAAACCCWGAAACCTGGGTGCTTTAGAAGCTGATTTCTGTGAGTTGTTGAGGTTTTGATAAATCGTGGTGGGCTTGATCCCACGTTTTTGGTTCAGATGATCTGTGTAGGTGAATGTTGAACTTTGGCTGAGCCAGTGCATGAGAGGCTGGCAGGGCTGCCACAGGCTGTGTAGGGTCAGGGTTAAGGAGWGTGAGAGCAGAATGGGGAGAAGTCTGCTGGTTTTAGTTCAGCTTACCTGAGAGGGTCTTACGCAAGTTAATAAAAGGAAGCAGAGAAAGTGCATTGGTTTGCATTGCAGTTTGTCTGTGTAGAGCTGTGAAGTGCCTAGCATGGGTGTATGGCACACTCAGAGGAGTGGTGSGTGTTCTGGGAGAGCAGAGGTGTTGAGCCAGGAGTCCAGCAAGGCAGACAGTTTACTGCTCCTTAATTAGATGAGCTCAATTATCCAGTCAGTTAATGCTGATATGAGGGCACCAGGTATCTTCTGTGCTCCGTGTCCTGTCATCATGTTGCTGCTGTCTGGTCCCCACACCCCTGGTAATACTAAAAATTGAGCAGTGTGCTGTTTTGAAACTGAGGTCAGGGGACTCGTCAGCCCTGTTTGGAGGAGGAGCAGCTCTGCCTGGCCTTCTTGCTGCCTGTGGGGCAGTTTGTGTGAGTGCTCCCCTGAGGGTGCTGGCAGTCCCTGCTGCCTTTCCAGACCTCCCTGCTCCACTGCAGGAGGGCCCTGTAGTCTGGGACAGGTGAATGCAGGATGGAGGAGCAGTGCAGAGTGTGAGCTGTGCAGAAGCTCAGGGGAGCCCAGGCAGGCAGGGTTGAGCCCTGGGCTCTGGTGGGCTCACAGCTGTCTGCCCATGCTGCTCCGAGCAGCCCTGAGTGGTGCCGGGAGCTCTGCTTTGCTGCTGCACCTTCTCTGTGCTCCTCCTTCTCCTCCCAGACCTCAGTGCCTCTGCAGGGAGAGGGAAGATGCCGTCCTACCCTCAGTTTAATGTGAATGCAGTCGCAATGCTGCCGAAAAAAGGCTCTGCTCCTGCCCAGCTGCCTGGCTGAGGGGCAGCACCCTTCCTTCCCCTCGGTGGCACCTTGCAGCCACCTGCACCCACTGATCTGACAGAAAACAAAGCCTGCAGAGGAGGAGGGAGAAGAGAGAGGGTTTGGGTGTGGATTGGTGAGCTGCTCCATTTAATCCTCGTTGAAGAGGTGGCTTGAGCTGACCCAAGGCCGTGGGTGCACAGGGCTCCAGGAGGCTGAGACCCTTCCTTGGGCAGCAGCCTGTGTTTGGAGTGGGTAAAGCTGTGAGACTTTGTTCCCTTTGTAGCTGCTTCCTGTGCGTTCCTTGCCCAAACCCCTTCCTCCTCAACCCTCCGAGAACCTCTGCCTGTCCCCTGTTGAGGTGGTGACAGTTTAGTGAATGTGCTTGGTTTAATGACAGATGCTGAGAAGAGAGGTAATTAAAAAGTACATTCACTCACATGTTTTGAGCTGAACATTGATACACGGTGAGGTCAGAGTTGTTTCAGGAGTGTTTTTTAAATTGAATGTTCATCCTGAGGTGTCAACAGGATGTTTGTGGGTGTTGGAAGGTGATGAGCACAGGCACTGCCTTAAATTCTATTTTCTTTGCAGAATACGTTCAGTTTGATGTTTAGGTGTTGAAAAAAAACGTGTAAGGTGAAAGCTGGATTTTGGCAACCCCATCAAGTCATGCATCCTTGTGGGGCTGCCTRTAAACCTATGGCTAGTCATCTGCCYGGCTGGGAYGTGTCGTGCTGAGCAGTTGTGCAGATCTGGGKTATGGGGAAGAGATTTCTCTGCTGCTGGTGCCAGCAGGGCCAGGGGGTGGCTGGAGGTGTGCTGGCAGCACTCACACCCTGCTGCAGCCACTGCCCAGCCAGGGCTCTGCTCATCTTGGCCAGGGKGTGGATGCAGCATGAGGAGTGGCTGAATTGTCTCACTGTCCTCAGCTAAAGATGGGAGAGGCGTCTSAGCCAGGGCAGGTGGGGAGTGCAGACTCCCTGTGCAATCTGCAGCGCTGTCCTTCAGCTCCCCTGTGCAGGGAGTGCCCTTGGTGCTTYTCCCCCATCCTGAGCTCCCCCAGCCCTCGCTGCTGCCTCACCCCGCCTCTGTCCCGGCTGAGATGCAGAGCACAGCGAGCTCACACCACGTGTGGTGCTYCCTCCTCAGTGACAGTGAGTGACCCTGTCACAGGACTGTCCCCTGTCCTGCCTTGCACAGGCACCTTTSTCTCCACCCTGCAGGAATAGGCCTYTTCCTTGACACCTGAGCGAGATGGAGGGAGGGATATCTCAGAGTGGGACACAGATCTGGGCTCTGTTAATAACTGCAGCCCTCTGTCTGGCACTGCCCATGCCTCCCCTGGAGAGGAGCCTTGGCTTTCGAGAGCTCCTGTCCCTCCAAAATGCCCCCCAGTAGTACAGGCAGGTGTTTTTGGAGCACCACCAAGAAACACTGCTGATAAAACTGTGGTGTTTAAAAGCCTTTGGCCTGCTAGGTGAGGGAAGAAATAGATCTCTAAACCCTGCCAGGCCCTCTCTGCCCTTTATGTGCATAGCCATCCATGTAAATCTAGATTTGAGACCCCARTATGCTCATGAATTCAGAGTTGTGTGCTTGTTCTCTGGGAGCAGTTTGATATGATGGGAGGCTGTTTATGCAAGTGAGATCAAAAATCAGACAGGTAACAGTGGTGAGTCTCTAGAAGCTCTATTGCTTAGAGATGAAATTTGAATGTAATTTAGATGAACTTGCAGTTGGTAACYAGAACAAGAGATTTGCTGTGATGTTGTTTTCAGTCTTAGGAGTTCTGAAAATTTCTTTGTGAAATATTGGATCTTTCCATCATATTGTTTGGGGAGACAGCAAAGATTTTTGTCTGGTGATTACCTTATATTTCTCTCTAGCTGAGCCTAGAAATCAATTCAGTGTTAGCAAGCAGCTAAGATAATTCAGCATTTTCAGCTTAGGCAGTCCTTTGAAAAATTTGCCTTCAACACCGAAATAGCTCCCATGGTGTGGTCTCCTGAAGTGTTCAGACACGCTGTGTACCTCCGAGCTCTGGTTTTTGCTCATCT